AATCACCTGAGGTCGGGAGTTTGAGACCCGCCTGATCAACATGGAGAAACCCTGTCTCTACTAAAAATACAAAATTAGCTGGTCATGGTGGCGCATTCCTATAATCCCAGCTACTTGGGAGGCTGAGGCAGCAGAATCACTTGAATCCGGGAGGCGGAGGTTGCGGTGAGCCGAAATCGTGCCATTGCACTCCAGCCTGGGCAACAAGAGCGAAACTCCATCTCCAAAACAACAACAACAAAGTTGATCTCATAATAGTAGAGAGTAGAATAGTAGTTTCTAGAGGTGAGGTGGAGAGCAAGGCATAGCCAAAGAGTTGTTCACAGATAAACAGATAGGAGAAATAAGTTCTAGTGTTCTATAGCATTATATAGTGACTATAATAGCAGCAATTTATTGTGTATTTCCAAATAGCTAGGAGTGGATTTTGAATATTCCCAATACAAAGAAATCCTAAATGTTTAAGGAAGCGAATATGCTAAATACCCTGATATGATCATTACACATTGTATACATGTGTCAAAATAACACACTGTACCCCATAAATAGGTACAATTATTATGTGTCTATTAAAAATGATAATAAAAGCAAAAATAAACCTGGCAGTGAGTTTTTATTTTCTACTCATATCCCCTATACTGAACTCAAAGGGAGTATAAATCTAGGAACTGCTTACCAAGCATAGACAAAAAGAATTAAAAGAGAAGTCTTCTTCCGTGACAAACAATGGAGACCTCATGGTGGCAGAGGGTTGGGGTAGAAAAGTTTGACAATGGGTAGAATGAGAGAATTTTGGGGGAATGATGGAACTGTTCTGAATCAATTTTAGTTGTGGTTATAAGACTGCATATTTGACAAAACATAAAGAACTGAAAAAAGAAAACAAAACATAGATTTTGTTCTATGTAATTTCAACAAAAAATTTAATATTATAAAAAACTAACAAATATAATGTATACTGGTTACATAATATTCTACACTAAGGGAGTATCAACACTTAAAAAACAATTTGCCTATTATTTTTCCCTTTCTTCTCAAGAGTTCAAATGTACAAGTTTAAGAGAGAGACAAAAGAGGAAAACGTACAAGTTTAAGGAGACAAAAGAGGAAAAATCAAAAACAGCAGCAGAAAGCAACAAGAATTAAGGAGACAGGTGAGTCGCTGTCTACAATATGGGAGACAGAACATTTTATGTCCAGGCATGTTACCTGCCAGCTACAATAAAACCAACAAAAAGTCTTCAGAAGAGTCATAATAATGTATTATATAAAATATCCACTTTAAAAAAAAATTATTATACCTGCAAAAAAAAAAAAAAAAACCAAAAGAATGACACCTAGTAAGTAAAAAGCAGAGTCAAGATAAATGGCTTCCAATGTGGTACAGTTACTGAATTTAGACTATAAATACTTCAGTAAAGTTATTATAAAGATGTTGACCAGGCGTGGTGGCTTACACCTGTAATACCAGCACTTTGGGAGGCTGAGGCGGACAGATCACCTGAGGTGGAAAGATCACCTGAGGTCAGGTGTTCGAGGTCAGCCTGGCCAATATGGTGAAACCTTGTCTCTACTAAAAATACAAAAAATTAGCTGGGCATGGTAGCACACCTGTAATCTCAGCTATTCAAGAGACTGACGAAATTGCTTGAACCTGGGAGGTGGAGGTTGTAGTGAGCCGAGATCATGCCTCTGCACTCCAGCCTAGATGACAGAGTGAGATTCCGTCTCAAAAAAAAAAAAAAAAATGTTCAAAGAATTACAGGAAAAAACTCATCTTAATAGGCAAATGGATAAAGAACTACAAAGAGATTTAAATGAAGACTACTAAACACACACATATAATTTGTCATGATTACATGATATTCCACGGTAAAAAAAGGACTGACTTCTTGAAAATAACTGTTCTCTATAAATCTTCCTTTCCTCTAAAGAACTGACTCTGACACATGCCTGGATATTGTAGAGGTAACATAACAAAGTTTTCCTCTAGTTAGGTATATCATTCAATGTAATATTTAGTGGAATCTGGACAGGATGAATCTCACATATAGGCATCAAAACTATCATTCAAATATTAAATGGGTAAGGAGAGGTAAGCATATATTGTAATAAGAGGATCTCTCATTATAAGTAAAGGCACATACTATTTCTTGTTTATACTAGTGTAGCAGTCATAAAATAATATTTCAACTTCAATATTTAAAATAGAATATAAAAGTATGTACCCATAATTCAAAAGGGGTTTATAACCCACTAAGATACATTTTCAAACAGATACTGCAATAGAAAATACTATGGACTTCACTGAAAAAAACGCTAGCACTGACTAGCATATTAGAGATGGCAGAAAAAGTAGTAAACTTAAAGGTAAAGCAATAGGAATTACAAAAGTCAAATAAAACAAAACAACAGAATAAAAAGGGGCAGAAAAAGTTTAGAGAAACACTAAAGGCCCTGAGAGCCTTGTGAAATAATGTCAAATGGTAAAACTTATGGCTGAAAACTTCCACAAATTGATACCTAGTGTTCAACAAGAAAAATAATGATTTAAAAAAATCAGTCCTAGAGATAAAACTACCCAAAGCAAAAGATAAGGAAAAAATCTTGAGAGCAGCCAGAAAAAAACATGTTACATACAGGGGAACAAATGAATAACAGTTAACTTGTCAGAAACTAATGTAGGTCAGAAAATATTAGAATGAAATATTCAAAGAGCTAAAAGGAAAAGATTATCAACATAGAATTCCATGCAGGGAAGAACATACTTAAAGAATAAAGATAAAGATATGTTCGGATGAAAGAAACGTAAGAGACTTCATCATCAGCACAGCTGTACCAAAAACAAAAGTTACAAGGCTTCTTCAAGATGAAGGAAAAGACTGAAATGGCAACTACAATCTGTGAGAAGGAATAATGAGCATGGGAAATGGTAGATATGTGGGTAAATACAAAATAGCCCATATGCTGCTTCCTTTTTTGTCTACATTCCTTAAAAGCATTTGACTTTAAAAGAAAAGTTATAACATTGTAATATAAAAATGGTAACATACATAGATTTAATATGAATAACAATACCACTAAAGAATACATATCTGGTGTCCTTGTAAGACAGGAGGACATGTACAGAAGGGGAGAAGGCTATAGAAAGATAGAGAAAAAGAACAGTCAACCTAATATTCTACATTCAGTACTTTAAAACTGTTGTGCCATTTCATTCTAGCCTGCCTGTTTTCTGATAAGAATTCCACTGTCTTTCAAATCATCCTTCCCCTATGATGATAAGCCTGTTAGGCTTTAAGATTTGTATTATGTTCTTATTGTCCAGCAGTTTGAACATGGATTTCTTTTAATTTGTTCTAAACGGAGTTGGCTCATCTTGAATCTGTAGATGTATGCATTTCATTAAACTTTTGAATGTTTTATATAATTATAAAATTATACAATTATAGAAAATATCCATTAACAATAGCAATGAAGAAGATGAAATAGTTAAAAAAAACAAACTTAACAATAAATGTGTGAAGCTAAGAGAATAAAAACATTGGCCGGGCGCGGTGGCTCAAGCCTGTAATCCCAGCACTTTGGGAGGCCAAGGCGGGTGGATCACAAGGTCAGGA